AAAACGGCCTTCCCCCATCGGGTGCTCTCCAGATGCTTTGGGCTACAATTTCCATCAATGGCAGGTACAGCCCAACACATCTGGAGAGCACCAGGTTGGGGAAGCTGGATTAATATACCGGGGTGCAGAACCCGGTGGCCAACTCTGGGCCTCCCCAGCAGGCAGTGGTCATTCCCCTGCTGCCCCAGGCACCCACCTTTTGGGCAGCTTTTGGGCAGTCCCCCCCCCCTTCTAAAACGATGCAGTGCTCAGGTACCGGCACTCAAGCATCAACATGCTGGTACTTCAGCCTGCCTCCGCTGCCGTGTCCCTCTTTCTGTTTGCCACCACTGGCATGTGGCCATCATGTGCTCTCTGAAATGGAATCCAGTCTCGGCCTGAAAGAGGTTCTGGCAGCCCCCGAAGTGCACAAATAGTAGTGCACACACTCGGATACCGGCCTGTGTCAGTCGGTGTCGCTGCCAATCCTGGGCCAGGCTTCCAGGCCAGTGGCAATGGGGGGGGGGGGGAGTCCAGGCCAAGTTCAAAAAGGAGCTGCCCAGAATGCCACACTCCTGCCCAGGGTTCCAGCCCACCAAGTCCCACTGAGGGAGGTGAGAGTGGGAAACGGGGCCATTCATGGGTCTTCTTGAAGGACTGAATTTTCCACTCCTCCTTCCTCATTCCTTGTTCCTTTTTCTTTTGGTGTTGCGACTTTCAAGTCATAAGCTCGCAGGCAGGGACTGCTGTTTACTGACCATATGTAAGCCCCTCTGGGAATCATTTTGCTTTAAGAGCGGGGTGAAAATCCTTTAATTAATCAACAGAAGAATTTGCATGTGGCCTGTGCCTCTTTTGGTAGTTTTAATACTCTCATCACTGATGGTGGGAGCTACATTTTACAGCTCTTGCTGTAAAATCTGAACTTTAAAGATTTGACATTTCAGTATTTGGGGTAAGACGTGCTACAAATAATGTTGAAACGCAGAATGCCTACACTTGGAAATTAGCATTTGAGACTGTAAAACAATGTGTATTTTGCAGTTAACTTTCCAAGCAGTGGTTGATGGGACATATCACTAGGCTTTATTTGCTATTGTATTATGGATCCCTGGCATGCATAATGTAAAGATGATGTAATAAAATTGCTATTTTTAAAAAACTTCCATTGATACATTGATATGTAGCAATTGATAAGGTGGCCACTTGCAAAGCACATGCACATTTTGTATAAACTGGTGTCCTCTTTTTGGTGATTTGCAAGTGGCCACCTTGCACCCATTTGTAATCCAGCAGGGTGCCTTCCCTGCCTTCTTTTCCGGCAACAGGAAGGCTTCTTTTACTGAGAAGAAGAGATGGAATGTGTAAATGCTCACAGACATTTGAACATTCCAGCCCAAGGTACAGGAGTTCTCTCATTTTAAAGAAGAGTAGCTTTGATGCGGCTAAGGGTTCAATTCTAGGCAGACGGAGGTCCTACACCTCCAGTATATTCCAGCTACCATGCCTAGGATTGTACCTATTACAGCTCTGCAGACATTCTGCAGTTGACAGTATGTTATAGCCCTGTTAACATTTTTAATCTAACTGCTAATAGTGGCTAAAATGCTTTTTTAACTACAGATTTTTAAATATTAAGATTAGCAAAGTACTGCTTACATGTAAAAGCATTACAGCATTGCAGCATTATAATCCTAATTCAAAAAAGTGGGGGAAATACGGTTACAATTACCATTTTAGCCATAAAGTGTTTTTCATAATTAAACACTTGCAATCTACATTTTTTATCCAAAACACATTTTAAGCACTTTGTTTTTGACATTTAATGGGCAATAATGGAGAATCATAGTTAAAAGAACGAGCACTTGGCACTAAATCTGTTTTCTTATGAAGGGATAACTCAGAAATTATGCACGGATAACAGTACCTTCATAGGGCTGCTCAGGTGGACTGGGCCTTCCACACCCATTGATTTCGACAGAAGCTAGTGGGATGAATATACAGAGAACGCAATAGCTCTCCAATTGCTTAGAAAATGCACTGTAATTCCAGGTTTAGTTTTTAGTGGTAGAGCAATGATTTATTAGTGACAGGAACCACCTGTCTGAAAGCGAGACCAGAATGCCTCAAGCACCCTGTAATTTAATACACATATGGTCTTCTGACTTGATCAGTTTTAGCATACTCTGTTCGTGGACAATGAGGTGGGCAAATGAAGATTGTGGCTAATTGGCTTACATGTTTATTAAAATAGGTTAGCTCCCTACATGGCGGAGTCCAGATGAAATCAACCCCAGTAGACGTGCCCGCAATTAAATCACCCCTCCCCAATCCTTTCTGTGTTTCCAAAGGACACACTTAGCATCGAGTCTAGTTTGACCTTCAGACTGTTCCCAAGCCTTCCGCCACTTGCTGCATCTTGCACAGCATGGTTCGCTTCTGCAGTGTGCAGCTTGGAATGGATAGCCGGGAGCAGGGTGGATAAAACACTGTTACTGCAATGAGTCGCTAGCTGATTCAACCGCACTTAATTAAAACAGCAGGGAAGGAACAAATTTGGATCCACCAAAGTCATCTTGGTCTTGAACAGCCACGACATTGCCATGGCAGGTTCTGTTATTACTGACAAAACTCAGAGGATGGAGAGGAACAACACAAGCACTGCATTAGGGTGTCCATTTGTCTTTTACAGAAGGCAGTCCTCTATTTGAAAGGCTGCTGAAGGACCGCCCTCTCTTTGAAGGGCGATTCTGTCTGATTCCATTGAGAACCATAGCATGGATTGTCCATCCACAGGTAACACCTGGACTGCATAGTAGTAAGTACTGAGGTCACCTGGTCACAATCTCCCACACTATCTTAGAATCATAGAGTTGGAAGGGGCCAGAGGGCCATCAGTTCCAGCCTCCGGCTCTGTGCAGGACTCCCAGTTAAACCATCCCTCTCTCTATAAGGTAGTCTATATTTTTACTTCAATTGCAATCATTTCTAAATTGGCACCTATACCAATACATTAGCCTATGCAAATCTCACACAAATGGCAGTCCTCTTTGAATCTGGAGATTCGTACGTGGCCACGCTGCCAACACTTGAAGGGAAACAGCTAGAGGGTCCCCCGAAAGAGTGCGGCTGCTTTCAGTTAGAACACTCCTAGCATTGCCAAAGGCTCCACTGAGCTATTCAACCTTTCTCTCCTTAATGGAATTTTCTTTTTCTTTTTTTTTTCTTTTCCATTTTTGTGATAAGAAAAAATAACAAGAAAAGATGGAAGAACTGTGAATGGAAGACCATGACATCTGGATGCACTTGTACAATTCTGTGAATGAGGCAAGTCGGTGATACAATAAAACTCCTTTCTGAAAGAGCCCAGAGTAGCTAAGAGGAAGCTGCAAGCTTGACTGGAATTTTTGGTCCAGAGCCTCTACCCAGACCCGATTCATGTGCACGCTGGCTCTCGCTCTTCTTGGGATAAGGTGGCTACTCTGCACTTCAATTCAGCATCTCCAGGGTAGTTTACAACAACAGAATAAAACAGGAAAAGGTAGCACTGAAAACAATTGCAAAAGAATTGAAGGAAAACAACCAATTCGAGTAGGGGATTTTTTTTTTTAAAAAGGTATATGTCTGATACTTAAAAGAAATTAACATAGCCAGTATTAAGCATTGTGACTGGTAGCCATCATAGAAACATAGAACATAGAAACAGAGTGTGTCAGAAGGGGCCTCCTGGGCCAACTAGTCTGACCCCCGGCTCCAGCCAGCTCCACTCATGACATGCCTACCATGTGCATGTCCAGCCTATCCTTAAACACCCTCACCAGTGGGGCTTCAGCCACCTCCCGTGGAAGCCCATTCCTCAGGGTCCTAACTGTCAGGAAGCACTTCCTGGCATCCACCCTAAATCTTGGTTCCCTGAGCTTTGCTCCATTGGAACACGTCCTGCCCTCCACTTCAGTGGAAAAATGCATGGGTCGTGTCCCACCTCCGCGTGGCACCCCCTCACGTTACCTGTACATCACTAACAGGTCCCCTCGGAGTCTCCTCCTCTCCAGGCTGGAAAGACCCAGCTCCCTCAGTCTCCCCTCATACGGCTTCCCCTGCAAACCAGCCACCATCCCTGTGGCCCTTCGCTGCACTGACTCCAACCTTGCTATGCCCCTCTTGCAACGAGGGGCCCAGAATTGAACACAGATTGCCTTACATTTGCAAACCGGTCAACTCTTGCAAGTAGTTCCTGGAAGCCAAAGAATGTCACCATTTCCCCTCCCATGGATTTCCAGAAGGCCCTGCCTTCCCGCACTTGTGTGACTAGGCTGCAACAGGGCAATCCAGGATGGTGGGACCAAGAGCAAGGCACTCCGCCTCCCTGCGTGCTTATGGGCCTGGTTTGCACCCCCACTCGCAGCTGCAATGGCCTCAACATGCCATGGGGGTTGCAGCCAGTGCCAGCCGCCATTCTGCGTATTCGAGTGGGCAGTCAATATAGTTTGCCACCACCTGCAAGCCTACAGGAATGGCTTGTTGCCACAGTTAACAAGCCACCCCAGGACTCTGCCTCACTGTGTACTGCATTCCAGGTGTAGCCCCTGGCATTGCAAAGAGTAAACCAGGGCAAGCCTTGTGGAGGGGCAATAAAACACTCTCTCACACACACACACGAAACCATGCTGAAATCTACTGGGGGACACAACAGCTCAGGAGGAAATGCAATTACAGGCCAAGCGATTTTCCATGTTCCCTGATTGGAACATAGATTCACAAGGCTGTGATTCATAGCAAGCTGCAAGAACACCTTGCAAATATGGCTTTTGGCCACGGCCACAGCAGTGCAAACATCTCACCCTGGCACACCTCGCAAGCTAAAAAGCATCCAGACAGCCCAGGCCAATATTTGGACGGGATACTTAAGCAGGGCCGATGCTGCTCCTTTTACCTGGGGACGTTCAAACCAGGAAACTTCTCAGCTAACAGGTGAAAATGGCTAAGGAATTCATTCAGTCTGAGTTTTTATACCGGCTTACCCAATCCATGCTTCTTGAACTGATATGCAAATCAGAACGCCCTTGTGCAGCTAGATCTGTGCTTTCAGAACGCCGCGATGCAATCTGCAACTCAAGAAATGAGCACCAGATTGCCTCTCTTAAGAGAAGGTAACGCATGGAAGTGCTTCAGTGGGGTAAAGCGTATGGGGTCATGGGGGCAATCTGGGACCCCTGGGCCTGTGATTCCCCACCCCTGGTCTATCTGAAAGGTGGTTCAGTCCAAATCTGGTTTTAAGCAATGAGAAGGGACAGCAACAGACGATTTGATGTAACCCTTGATGTCACTTGGCACTGGGAGGGCTGAGCAAGCGGTGGACACACAGAAGACCTAGCCAAAGCCTTCCTCACCGTGACAAACTGCATTGTGTTTCTATCGAAAAGTAATTATTTCAAAAGTTGGACCTTTGTCTGTAATTTAGCACACATTTTATGCATACATGAGCCCCCTTTTTGGTGATGCATTGGGTGGACACCCACACTTTGTGCTCTTGTGTACCACTGATCCCCTCCTCCCAGCTTTAAACCAGGATTTGATGTTGGTTTACAAACCCTGGCTTGGTTCAGCACAATAAACCATAGTCCTGGGTTCGGATTCCAGAGAGAGCCTATTCCTACTGGAACATAATAGCATCCAGCTGGCTGTAGAACAGAATACTAGAGGCAGTGAGCTTTTGGTCTGATCCTCCAAGCAGCCCTCAAGTTCTTAATTTGCACAGCAACCCAGTTTGACCTGTGTTGCTAGCAGCCTTTTAGCAAGCAGTTTCCAGCATCATAAACATTACAGAACAGAAGAGCTCCTGTTGCTTGTTCTTTATTTGCCCTGCACTGATGGTGCTTTACCTCCCCAGTGCAGTGGCTCCGGAAACTGCAGAGAGCTGCTCAGGCCAACCATTAGCATTGCTCTCCCTCCATTGTGCTGCAGTGTTGTCCAATGTGTTCAGCCTTAAACACACAAAATTCTCTGAGAGCTTTGCTTTCAAAGGGCATACGACCCAAAGGGCATCAGATCTGGGACTGAGCCACTGGGATAAACCGCCTTCGACAAATGTGATTGTCGCTTGAAATATGCTGTGCAAGTCGACCATGCACATGTACTTAATTTCCCAAGCCAACTGTTGACCTTTATGCCAATAAATTATACAACCATTCAATATGAAAATTGCATGACTCCCCAAAGAGTGCTATATGACAACAAGCAAATTAAAATATATACAAAAATACTGGTAGGGACTGGAAGCTGGGTTGCAGGTAAAAGATACTCTTCCCATGTTTATGCTTCTGCTAAACTCTGCTTGTGTGCTCAAGGAAGCCAATGCTGAGTAGCTCTTGCATTTGCTCCTAAAACTGCATTTGCAATGCTTAATTCTCCTTAATTTCAGATTCCTCCTCTCTACCAAAATATGACAAGGCAGCTTACAGGCACAGTTAAAATAGGTTAAAGTACATGAATGTTCAATAAAAGCATTCCAGCATTGCCCTTTGCTACTTCCAGGGCCCGAGCGCCCGGCTGCCCACACGTGTCCCTCTGCACTGCTCCCTGGCCTTTTGTACGCTCTCAGAAGTGGAAGGAGGGAAGAGGGTAAGGTAGAAATCCCACCTGCAGGCAGTGGGCTGGCACAGCAGAGGAACGGAGGTGGATGGGCGGGTGGGCAGGAGAGCAAGCGGCAGGATCCGGCCTCCTTGTCAAAAGCCACAAAACAAATCTGTCAGCTTTCACATCAGGCAGAGAGCTGCTCTGTTTGAGGTTTTTCTCCACTGCCTCCTGCACCAACCCTTCTAATAAAGCCCATACACCTGGAATATATAATTTTCTCAGTGATACATAAGTGTGGAAATAATCCAGCTCATTAGCGCTATGAGCTGTGCAAGCCAGTTTGGCAAGGAGAGGAAAGGAGCTGAGAAAAAGCACACAATGTATTGTAAGTCAAAGGACAATTGAATGAACAACCCAAGCTGACTTAAATACAGCCAAATAGTCACCTTCTCCGGCAGCATAATCATACTGCAAGAAGCACAGGTATTATATGGATTTTCTTATTTGGTAAGGCTCCAGTATCCTGATTCAAAGATGCTTTCAGCAACTGTAGCCCCGTTTTCCCCAGAGAGAAGGCAGCTCAGCCAGTGAAGAAAGAACGGAACTCCCAGTTGCTCAGACTCTGGAAAGTTTCTGCTGCTCACTTTGAACTTGATCAGACAGGAAGAGGACTGATGCCACCGTTTGCTGCTCTTTATCTTTTTTTCCAAACTGAAGAGGGCCTTTCTTTAATCTTTTGAGATGCAGCTTGTTCACATACTGAGTAAACTATGTAAACAACCTAATACCAGGGCAGGCTTTCAATCCTCCAGAAGCTTCACTTCTCAAGGGGTGACCTAATCAGAACTCGGCAGGTGTGGGGAGGCTCGTGCTCCTTCCAAATCCAAATCACGTGTGTGCGTGTCCCTGGCCGGTTCAAGAGGAAGGGCTCCAAAAAGCGGAGTGAGCAGAGTGGAGGAGGGCTAAAAAACATTGCATGGTGGAGAGAAAGTAGATGCAGAGCAGTCTTTCTCCCTGAGGGCTTCCAGATCGCCTTGTCTCTTTCCCAGGATTTTATGAGGGAGGCAGATGCCTTCTCTTCCAATACAGCCCTTCTGGATGTCCCCTCCCCTCTTTTTTTCCATGACACACAAAAATTTGTTAAGAAGAAAGTGCAGAATACCCTCCCTCGGAAGTATCCTTTGAAAAGGAAGGGCCACAAGCAGCCATTTTGCTCTTATTGTTTGCTATGGAAGCTGCCATTATTATTTCAGGAGAGGCAGTGTGAGGTAATGGTTAGAGCATTTGACTGGGGATCTGGGCGACCCCTGCTCTAGTCCTCTTTCAGCCACTGGGGGCCTTCAGGCCAGTCACAGACTCTTAGCTTGTTGTGGAGAAAATAAAATGGAGAGGAGGAAGAGGACCTTGTAAACTGCCTGGGACTGTCTGCCTGTGTGGACACCTGGATTACCTAGGTGGGCAAACCCAGCCATCTAAAACAAACTGCATGGAGGAAGGCACAGGTGTGACTGCCCTGCCTCGTCCTGGCCGCTGAATGTCCTCACACCTCCGAGCTGGAGGCTTGCCTGCACCTAGGGGGCGGGCAATAAGATTAAGCCCTGAAATGCTTGATCTATATTCCTGCTATACCTTAATCCTAGAATTTGTCAACACAGCTAACATGGTCACATTATAATAAAAAATTACAACAAGACTATTGGGGTGAAATACAAATGAATTGATTAATGATAATAAAGTAAACACAGCAGTGCCATAATCCAATAATCCATTACAAGGCAGGAAAAGTGGGTAAACAAATAGGCCCGCAAGAGGCATTTAAAGCTTGACAAATGGTCTGCTCATGGACATGGTGTGGTATGGAGCTGGAGAGGCAGGTGCCGCCACCCTACCATTGCTTGGCCACGTTCTGTTGGCCGTAGCCAATAAAGCCTTCTTAGGAAAGTTCTCGGGGGTCAACCGGCAGACAAGGCAGTCAAGTAGGAAAGCTGGTCCCGGATTATGCCAATAACAAAACCATGGACAAGGCTGGGGAGCTAACGGCAGCCAGTGCACTGTTTGCAGCTCAGCTGTGATATGGGCGTAAAGTGGTACTCCACTCAGCACCCTTCCTGATGGACCCTGGACATAAACAGCTGGGCAACAGAACAAGCACAGATGGGGGTCACCACACTAGGGCGAGACAGTCTGTATTTCTGCGTAACTGACAGTAATTATTTGCAGATTGGCTTTTATGCCTAGAGAAGTGCACAAGCAGATCTTAGGCCAATCATTTCCTATTTTTAGTGATATAACTTCTCTCGTGCATTTGTTCCTGGCCACTGGTGTGTGGAGCTCACACAGACTTTCTCAACCAAGCTAGGATGGCTCAAAAATTGGTTGGTTCAAAATTCATTGCCTTGGTTCAGGTGCCATTTTCTGTCTCACCCATGACAAGGCTGCCTGCCTTGGACAGTTCCTTGAACATTTATTTATTTATTTAGAATATTTATATGCCATCCTGTCGCAAAAAGCCTCAGGACGGCTTACAGCAATATAACATAAGGATACAAGAAAAGCTTTGCCAAGCATTCTCTTGCTTTCAGTTTTTTAAATCTTAAATTCTTCATGTTCTCTGTATGAAGACATTAGCACATTTTACTAAATTCTTTTCAGAAATGAACTAAGCAAAATTCTCAGCCCTCTGCACAGACAGTTGAATAAGCATAGCTTTTCCCAGCATGGAGGAGGTTGCAGTATCACTGCCAGGCACAGATAGGCTAAAGAACTTGTCAAGAAAGAAAGAATTTGCAATCTCAGCTCAGCACTACAAACATGGCTGAATACAGAGGGATTGATCCTGCCCACATTTAAGAGCTAAGCATTCAAAGCCTTCTGCCTGGAAGCTTTGCTCCACCATATAAAATGAAAATCACAACCACTGCCGCCACCACCATCTCAAGTTCCTTCCATCCAGTTTATGGAGAACTCTGTAAATTTAGTAAGTTCTGAAGAAAAGGTGAAATGAATTAAACTCTCACCCATTCCTATTTCAAGCTGGGGTCAACCCAGTGCTTCCAGGAACTTGAAAAACCATGTTTAAGGAACCTTTTGACAAGAAGGAAAGTCATCAGCACACTATTGTTTATTTGCAAAGAAAAAAGTTTAAGAGAAAAAGATATTGGAGAGCATGTTGGAGACTGTATTTAAGTAGTACACCGTGTGTCTCCGAGGGAGGGAGGGAGGGAGGGATCCGTTTGTCATAATTCAGATGTGCTTGTTGCTATGGATACATTTACAAAAAAGCAAAATGAGTCACTATGATTTAAATTTCCAGTATCAGGAGGAAAAAGAAATATAAGCAGCAAGCATATGAGAGAAGGTAACAATAATCCCAGGAACACAACTGCTTTCTTCTTCACTGGTTGCAGTATTTGCAATACGACAATCAGTGAAATTCACCCAGATTGCCTTGTCGGGGCAGATGGTGCTTTTTGCGGATTGGATGACGTTAAGCGAAGCCCAGGGCCTCTCTGGCCAAGGACAGGGTCTACTCTTCAGTTACCCCCTTACAGTGGACAGAGGCACTTCTGAGTAGACATGCCTGGGATTGACCAGTTGAATGAGGAAGAGAACATCTGTGGCCCTCCAGATGTTCCGGCTGACAACACCCATTGGCACTCACCATTGGTTAGGCTGGCTGGGGCTGACAGGAACTGCTGGTGAGAACATCTGGAGGAGAGCTCAGCCCTGGAGGGATTTTTTGATTTGATCGAGGGACTGACAACCTAGAGAGGGGCTTCCGCCCGCTGGCTGCCCTGTTCACAGACCTCCATTTGTAAATCCGCACTTTTAAGATGTGGAGCCTAGCATTTGGCATCAACACCAACTGCTGTTTTCCTCTTAGAGCACCTGCTTGAACGCTGCCAAGCATCCACAGACTCAAGAGACATCAAGTGGATGCAGTGATTCCCCCAAAGCCATATTTAGCATGAAAGTCCCCATCTTTGCCACACTGGCAATTTTTCTGCTTAAGAAATTAAGCCTTCCCCAAGCAGCTGTGAACTGCACAGCACGTCTGACCCTCTGAGAGAAGCAGGTGTGGTGGAGAAAGTCAAGCGACCATAATGCCAGCCAAGCATGTTGGTGGCCTGGTTGTGGCAATTGTGGGAAATGCTCTCCTGCACAGTTCCTTGTGCAGCTGCTTTTGCAAAACAGAGCGCTGATTCACCTAAAAAGGCCCATGCTCGTTTACAGGTCAAGAGGCAAATTGGGAAATAATTACTCTGGTGAGAAATGTAACACATCACAGCCTCATGGGAAAGATGGCCTCCTGCTCTTCATTCTAACGGATGTGCATCCTTACAGTGGAATTAGACTGGTGGCTGGTCCTTCAAAGAGAGCATGCCTTCAAATCAAGGACTGTCCCTGTAAAGTAGGACACTCTATCCCACTCTCAATCCCAATGCAGTCAGTTCTACTTCTGCACCAGCCACAACATGCAGAAACAGAAAGATGTTCAAGGTAGTTTCACTGCTCCAGGAGATTTGTATTCTCCTGTACACACAAACATAAATGCACACACATACACATCCCCACCCTGGTGCCAAGACAAGATGCAACAGGCACTAACTGCAGGCTGTGTTGTTGCTCATCCATTAGATTTCTGCATTGCCCAAGCAGCAAATTGCCTTTGGGGCAGTTTGTAATGATAAAAACCGCCCCACATGCAGCCAAACAACGTGGAAGGAAAACAATGTAACAGGAAGAATAACAAAGCCATTCAAAACACAGGCAAGAATCAATGCTGAAGTGGGTTCTAGTCCAAGGCATCTGGAGACACCATGCTGGGGAAAGCCCGTTCCTGGCATCTCCAGGCAGGGCCGGGGCCAAAAATCCTGCCAAACAGAATATATAGGACTAAATTAGAGGGACCACTTCTGTGGGAGGGGACTTCCTATGGCCTGGTTTAAAACGGCCCTCTATTCGGAGACTGGGATCTTGTCTCCTTTTAAGGGAAAGGCTGGCAGGCGCTGGGCCGCTCCAGTGACCAGCGCCAGAACCACCCCATTCGCAGGTCTGGTCCCAGGCCCTGCTGAAGCTCCCAGTCTACAGATGAGGAGCACTTGCTGGGAGTCCTGGGGAAAGAGCTGTTTAAGAGCAAGCTCCTCCCCCTGCAATGCAGGCCTGCCAGCCGCGGTGCCTGTGCCTCTCCATGTCTCCGGCCTCACCGGGTCGCCTCAGCAGCACAGGTCCTCTCGTCGGCTGTTGCGCCTCCATCCTGCCTGACCTCTACCCTGCCTCAGCCCGCTAGCTGTGGTTCAGCTCCTGCCCCTTGCCGCGTCTGGTTCTGCTTGTCTCCTGCCCTGCTATCCTGTCTGAGGTACCTGCACCTGGTTCTCAACCCTTGGCTCCTTTCTGAGCAGGCCCTTGTTCTGTCCTGATACGCACATCTGGTTTCTGACCTGGGCCTCTTTAGTTGCAACAGCCTGGACTCGGCTACTGGACACGCCATCAAACCTTATGCTGTGGACTCTGTCTTGCTTCAGGTTCTGTTGCCATGGTGCCTCTGCCTTGTCTCTGGCCACTCGCATCCTGGCCCTGAAACATGACAAAAGCCATGGCTTGGTGCAGAGGCCTTGCCTTGCAAGCAGCTTGCAATGTCATCCCCTGGCATTTCCAGGTAGGCCTGGGAAAGAATCGCAGCTGAAACCCTGGGGAGCTGCTGCCAGTTAGT